TGAGGAGTGGAATTGCCATACCGTGTGGTAACTCTCTACATCCTGGCAAATACTTACTATGATTTGACTTTAAAAGTTTATTTATTTAGAGACAGGGTCTCACCTGTTGTCTAGGCTGGAGTGCAGTGGCACAATCATAGCTTACTGTACCCCTGACTTCCTGGGCTCAAGTGATCCTTTTGTCTCAGCCTCCAGAGAAGCTAGGACTGCAGGCACATGGCACCATACCTGGTTAATGAAAAACAAATTTTTTTTAGAGAAAGGACCTACTGTGTTACCCAGGCTGGTCTCAAACTCCTGGTCTCAAGTTATCCTCTTGCCTTGGCCTTCCAAAATGCTAATATTACAGATGTGAGCCACTATTGCTGACCCTTGCAAGTTCACCTTTTAATATAGCCATCCTCATGGTGTGATATGGTTTCTTATTGTGGTTTAAACCCATGTTTCTCTTGTGAGTAATGATGTTGAGTATATTTTCATGTGCTTATTGATCATTTGCATATCTTCTTTGGAAAAATTTCTATTCAGATCCTTTGCCCATTTTAAAATATGATTTTTTTCATTTTCTTATTCAGTTGTAGGAGGTGTTTATATATTTTAGATAACAATCCCTTATCAGGTATATGATTTGTAAATACTTTCTCCCATTCTGTGGGTTGTCTTTTCAGTTGCCCTAGGGTGCCATTTGGTATTCAGAACTTTAAAATTTTGAAGAAGTCCAATGTATCGATTTTCTTTTTCATTGCTCATACTTTCGGTGTCACCTCTAAGAATGTATTGCCAAAGCCAAGGTCAGAATGGTTTATCCCTATGTTTTCTATTAAGAGTTTATAGTTTTAGCTGTTAATGTTTAGATCTCAGATCTGTTTTGTATTAATTTTGGTATACAGTGTAAGGTAGATGTGCAACTGTATTCTTTTGCAAGGGATATCCAGTTGTCCCAACACCACTGGTTGAAGAGACTGCTCTTTCCCCCCACTGAACCATCTTGGCACCCTTGTTGAAATTAATTGACCATAGATACATAGGTTTCTTTATGGTCTCATTATTACCGTCCAACGATATGTTTGGTCTTCTCTTGTCATATATCGTTAGCTATTTGATTTGTATATATCTTAAATGCTACAGGGACTCTATTATTATTATTACAATCTTTTGTGACTAAGTGAATATTCATGGTAAAAAATTAAGACACAAAAGTGCCAAAAGTGAAAATCCTGTGCCAGCCGCTGCTGCCCCCACTTGCAGGACCTCGTCCTCTGAGTGGTCTGCTAAGCAGCTTTGTAGATTTCTCCTCAGAGCAGACCTGCATATGTGTCTTATGTGCATGCATGTGAGATCCAAATGCAATTCACACTTGTGTGTATGTTGATATGCATATATTCAAATTCAGCAATATTTATATTTGTATGTCTGCATTTTTATTTTTATATAATTGAGATGTACAAAAAACTTCTGTGACTTGTTAAACAATCAGCTGTATATCTCGTGTGTCTTCCATGACAGTGTATATGTATTTTACCTTGTTCTTAATGATTCCATAAAATTCCATAGGGTGTATATTCCAAGGTTTTCTCAATCAGTTCCCTGTCGTTGGATGTTTATGTGGTTTCCTTTTCTTTTTTCCCTTTTTCCTCTGGTGTTGCAGTGAACATCCTTCCACATGCCTTTGTGTACATGTGGGAGTACTTTTCTCAGTGAGATATCTGGAAGTGGAGTTGCTGATCATGTCTTTTAAAGTAATTTTTAATGTCTTTCCCTCAGCTGTGCTTTATGATGCCTTGCACATACTAGGCACTTAATAAATATTTACTAAAGTGAACTCTTAAGAGTTTTTATCCTGGATTGATCCCCAGCTTGCTGTTTCATCTCAGTAAACTGTTTTATGACACCCTTAGGCCTATTTCACTTCCTCTAAAATGAATGAGAGTTTTGGTTCTCCAGTCTTCATTAGGGGAACTGAGGTGAAATGAGTCAAGCAGTATTTTGATTATCTACTGTATGTGTGGCACTGGAGGTGTACAGAGATGAGTGAGTTGCAGCCTTAGCCCTCAAGGTATTTAAAAACCATCAGGGTAGGCAGGCGGAAGGTGTAGTGCTTCTCCAAGAAGCACACATGTGTTGTCGGGGGTGCTCAGAAGAAGGGAAGAGGTATTACTGGCACACCTTGGAGGTGGTGCAGGCATGGCTCCAGATACCACAGTACAGCCGATGTCAAAATAAGGCAAATCATGAACTTTTTGGTTTTCTAGTGTATGTAAGAGTTGCATTTACACTATACTATAGTCTCAAGTGTACAGTAGCATTATGTCTAAAAAGTATATATACCTTAATTAAAAATACTTTATTGCCAAAATATGCTAATGATCATCTGAGCCTTTAGTGAGTTGTGAACTTTTTGGTGGTCAGGGGGTGTCTTGCCTCTGTGTTGATGGCTGCTGTGGGATCAGGATGGTGGTTGCTGATGGTTGGGTTGGCAGCGGCAGTTTATAAAATAAGATAATGAAGTTTGCCAGATTGTTCAACTTTGCCTTTCACAAAAGATTTCTCTGTAGCATATGATGCTATTCGGTAGTATTTAACCCACAGCAGAACTTCTTTCAAAATCAGTTTTCTAAAACCCTGTTGCTGCTTTATCAACTAAGTTTATGATTCTATTCTAAATCCTTTGTTGTCATTTCTGCAGTGTTCACAGCATCTTCACCAGTAGATTCTATCTCAAGAAACCACTTTCTTTCCTCATCCGTAAGAAGCAGCTTCTCATCTGTTCAAATTTGATCATGAGACTATAGCAATTCAGTCACATCCTCAGGCTCCACTTCTAATTCTAGTTTTCTTGCTGTTTCTACAATGTCTGCAGTGACGTCTCCATTGAAATATTGAACCCTTGACAGTCATCCATGAGGGTTGGAATCTACTTTTAAGCTCCTATTAATATTGATTTTTTTTTATCTTCTCCCATGAATCATGAATGTTCTTAATGGCATCAAAATAGTCCTTTCCTGAGAGTTCTCAATTTACTTTTCCCAGGTCCATCAGAGGAGTTACTATTTATGGCAGCTCTAAGCTTATGAAATGAATTTCTTAAATAATAAGACTTCAAAGTCAAAATTAGTCCTTGATCCATAGGCTGCAGAATGAATGCAGTGTTAGGAGGCATGGAGACAACATTCATCTTGTACATGTCCATCCAAGCTTTTGGGTAACCAGGTTCATTGTCAATGAGCAGTAATATTTTGCCTGGATTCTTTTTTCCTGAGCAGGTCTCAATGGTGGGCTTACAATATTTGGTAAAACATGTTGTAAACAGATGTTCTGTCATCCAGACTGTGTTGTTCCATTTCTAGAGCACTAGCAGAATAGGTTGAATATCATTCTTAAAGGCCCTAGAGTTTTCATAATGATAAATGAGTGTTGGCTTCCATTTAAAGTCATCAGCTACATTGGCCCCTAAAAAGAGAGTCAGCCTGTCCTTCGAAGGTTTGAAGCCAGGCATTTATTTCTCCTCATTAGCTATGAAAGTCCTGAATGGCATCTCCTCCCAGTAGAAGACTGTTTTGTCTACACTGAACATCTGTTGTTTAGTTTCGCCACCTTCATCAGTGATCTTACCTAGATCTTCTGGATAAATTGCTGCAGGTTCTCCAACAGCACTTGCTGCTCTACCTTACACTTTTATGTTATGTTATGTCCATAACATAAAAGTATTCTTTACTTAAGTCATTATTTAAGTCTTACGAACCAAACTCTGCTCACTTCATTGTTTTCTTCTGCAGCTTCCTCACCCCTCTCAGCCTTCACTGAATTGAGAGATAGAGGCTCGGGTTTGATTAGGCTTTTGCTTAAGGGAGGATTGTGGCTGGTTTGATCTTCCATCCAGACCACTAAAACTTTCTCCATATCAGCAATGAGTCCGTTTCACTTTCTTGCCATTCATGTGTTCACAAGAGTAGCACATTTAACTTTCAACATTTTTTCCTTTGCATTCACAACTTGGCTGTTAGGCGCAACAGGCCTAGCTCTTGGCCTCTCTTGGCTTTCAACATGCCTTCCTCACTAAGCTTAATCATTTGTAGCTTTTGATTTAAAGAGAGAGACATGTGGCTCTTCTTTTCATTTGAACACTTAGAGGCCATTGCAGGGTTATTAATTGGCCTAATTTCGTTGCGTCTCAGGGAACAGGGAGGCCTGAGGAGAGGGAGAGAGATGGTGGGGAATGGCTGGTCACTGGAGCAGTCAGAACACAACAGCATTTATCAGTTAAGTTCTCCATCTTACAGGGACAATGTTTGCAGTGTCCCAAAACAGTTATAAGAGTAACATGAAATGTCACTGATCACAGATCACCATAACAGGTATAATAATAATGAAAAAGCTTGAAGTATCGTGAGAATTATCAAAACGTGACACAGAGACGCAAAGTACATGCTGTTGGAAAGACAGGCTTGCCACAAAACTTCAACTTGTAAAAACTGTGTTATCTGCAAAGTGGAATAAAGTGAAATGTGATGGAAGGAGGTATGCCTTTGCTTTACTTGGATGCTATTGGGGAGCAGCCTTCCCTGGAGAAGGTGATATTGAGGTACCCCCAAAAGAAGGATATGATTAGGACAGGTGGAGACGTCCAGGGTGTAGGGGAAAGGTGGCAGGCTGCGAGTAGTTCAGAGGGAAGAGCGTGCCTGAATTCAGAGGAGGTGAGAAAAGTGAGAAGTCAGGTTCCCCTGAGGATCAGGAGTGTGGAGGGGAGTGGTGGGGGTGAAGCCGTAAAGACAGCAGGGGACATGACAGTGGTAGACTTGGGATTCCAGATGGGCTGGGCATGGACCTGGGAGGCCCTGGGCCACTACAAGAGGAGTTTTAGTAGAATTGCCTTGTTAGAGCTGGTCTTGAGGAAACAGTGCACACATTTGGTAAATCTGAGGCCTGAATAAAGAGGAGACTTTGCTTCCAGGCACTTCCGTGACATAACTTCTTCTTGTCCCTCCTTTCTGCTTCCCTAGCTGTCTGAAAATGTGGTGAACCGCATGAAGGAGCCCAGCTCTCCACCCCCCACTCCTGCATCTTCTACGTTTGGCCTTCCAGGTGGCAACTTGAGAGCCCCTCACAAAGGTATGGGGGTTGTGACAGTTCTGTGGAGGGTGGAGAGATGGCAAAAGGATTGATGGGTGCTCCTCTGAGCCCACTTGATGGCGCAGGGCTCAAGTTGGCTTCTGGGTGACGTAAGCAGCTCTGTCTGGTACGGGCTTTCCGGGAGATCGTGGCCTTCTGGAAGTGATGGATGCTGTCGCCAGAGCTGCTAGGATTCGGACCGAACCGCTTTCCCTCTGTGTGACTTCCCCCGTGTGGGAACTGAGGCAGAAGAATCTGGGTTGACAGCTCAGGAAAGAAGTTGCCTTTAAGGCCTCTCAGAAGCAGCACAGCCATGATTCAGTTTCAGCCACTCTAGCCCAAAGCCCAAGTCAAAGAATGATGTGGATTCATGCAGATGGGGCCAAATAAGGGAGAATTCCGTCAGTGACTTAGGCGCCTGCCCGCGGCAGCCCTCGTCTGACACTCAAGTCGAGAGCTCCTGTTCTGGTCCCTGGAATGGTCCCCCCTGGACTTCTAGGAGGGGGTCCTAAGAGTTCCTCTTCCTGGCCCACTGTGAAGCTGGTGCCCAAGCCATGCTCAAAGCTGATTTGTTCCCTACTCTATTGTGCCTGTTGCAAATGAAGAAATGCGTACTTTCCCCCAAATAATGACTTGTAGCAAACACAAGGAAAGTGTTTTAAGAAAAAAAGCTGTGAGGCATGCAAATGTTAAAATATTACAAAATAAAAAATTCCTTGGAGCAATTGCTCAAAACATACTAGTTTTGGAGAACTTGGGTCTGTCTATCAGACTCAGTAACTGGATTGAAAAAAAAAAAAAAAAAAAAAACATTGGCTGGAGGTGCCATTCCACCACAGAGGTTCACATGGAGAACCTCTACCACCCACTAGATTGTTCGTCTCGGGCCTGGCCCCGTGTTACAGTTGCCTTTTCTGCTCGTCTTCCCTGCCGGGTTGTAAGAGTTTAGAAGATGAGAGCCGTATCCTGCAGACTTAGTGTTTACTGAAGCCACCTGGGACCAGGTCCTATGTCCTGTGCCAGGACACAGTGATAGGTGGGCAGGGACCCTTTCTCATGGCACACCCGGCTCTGGTTACGGAGTCAGATGTCAGCCCTGATGGGTTATGGGTCATGTTGTGATGCAACAATAGAATCCATCCCAGGCTCAGGGGAGAGGAGGGACTGTGAGAGGCAGGAGGAATGGTGGTAGGTGGGCACTGGGGGTGGGCGGACAGCAGGAGCAGAGGTCTGCAGGCGGAGTGCAGCCCAGCATGCTCGGGGATCTAGAAGTATTGCTGTCTCTGGAATACAAAGTACAAGGGAGGGGAAGATGTTGGGGTGGCCCTCGGGAGCCAGGCCATGGAGACGTCCCATGGTGGCCAGAACACTCTGGCTTCATCCTCAAGAGGATGCCCGCCAGATGTCCCAACACCTCCACCCCTCTGCTGTCTGCCCAGGAGCCAGTCAGTCCCTAGATTTGGATCTACCCCAGGGTCTTTCTATCTACCAGTAAAGGGGCTGTGTAAGACTCCTGAAAATCCCGCAAGAAGCCCTTGTTCTTTTCTAACAGGGCTTACTTACTCCCCACGCTGGCTCTAGCTGACTGATGAGAAGGGCTTAAGAGGGGTCAAACTTGACCCAATGCATTTTAACAAACTGGATTAACTTGAAAGAGGGAGAAAGTGAAGCTAAAAGTGAAAATTGCCATAATATATAATACTGCACATCAGTTTCAGCTTTGAAGAAATAAGCATTTGCTTCAGTTTGGTAAGTTTCGGCAGTTTAGAAAGCAAGAATAGTAGTTCTTTTGTCACTTGGAGTTAGTTACAACAAAATACTTTGCTGTTTAAATGATAGGTGCAAGTTTGGTTTCTGAATATTAAAGAAGTGTCAGCATCAATGGACTGTCTTGAAGTTAACAAATTTTAAGATATTTTGTACTTTTAAAACCAGTGTTTGCTTTGTTTTACTGATGGAACAAAGAAAAAGAGGTTAAAATTGAATCCCTCTTATACCATACCCTCATAAAATGTCAGAGGAAGTAAAAGTTGGAAATGTATGACTAACTAGAAGCCATAAAAGTACAAAAGAGGGTAGATTTTCTACACACCATATTAAATGAAGAAACCTTAAGAAAAGTAGGAAATGTGAATATAAGAAATTAGAGATAATTAAGGAAAGAAGTAACAGGAATGGATAAGTTAGGGAAAATATAACATTGGACATAGTCCTGGTAATCTTAGTATGTGGTGAGTTCTTAAAGATCATTAAGAAAGCTCAGTAGGAAATGTGCACAGATAGCCATATTCATGGCAGGATCTCCATGTTGCTAATACTGGAAGAAACCCATATTCAACAATGTGCTCTCCAAGGGAGTGGGGCATGGGCAGGGGTACCCAGAAGGGGAAGCGAGGATGAGTGCCACATGCTCTACGTTGGCAGGCCTGTTGTTTTTGCAGTTAAAAAAATGGAAACTGATATAAAAAAAAAACCGAATACCAGACATTAAACCTCAGTAAAGCTCTTCAGGCAAATAAGCGTGGGGAGCACTGGTGTGGAGATGAAACCCCGCAGCAGCCTCCTGTGTTCACCGCAATTGAGAACCTGGCGTGTTGCTGAGCAGCGTGGGAGTGCCCTCCTCTTGTGACGGGGTTTGAAAGGGCGAGTGACAGCCAACCACTTTCGGAAGTGCCCCCTGAAGGGTCCCTGGCAGCTAGCTCTGGGGTGGATTCGTATACCCTCATTGGGCGCCTCCCACAGCGTGGTTCTTGTGTTATGCTCTGTGCGCTTCTGGCTGCCGCTGCATAGAACCCTGTGGTGGAGTGGGGTGTGGGACATCAGAGAAGGCCAAGAAAGTTGGTGAGCTTTGGCTGACAGAGGGCTTTGGAAGGGTGAAGGCTGCGGACAGGAGTAGGAACAAAACCTTCAGTGTCAGCAAATGATGGGGAGAGTGAACTCGATTTGCTCAGAAATCCCCAAATTTGTGATAATCAAAAGGGATCTACTGTAACAACAGAAAGAGCCCAGTAATACTAGAGGCAATAGGAGTTAACTAGAATTAGGTTTAATATGGGGCATTTGCCACACTCAGGATTGTGCAGACTCAGGTGGTTACTAGGGGAAACAAGATTTAAAGAGCTCCCACCCCTTCCCTTCCCTATGTCAAAACCGCTTCCCAGGAGGCTGTCCTCATGAAGCAAAGCAATGATTCCTTCAACCACTCGTGGCGTGTGCTTAGGAGATGACCTGGATTCCAAATAATTGTCAAGAGAGTAGGGATGAGTTTGGAACACTGCACGCGAGGGGTTCTGTCTGCAGGCTGCCCAGTGTTGTGGGCATCCTGGTGCAGAGACCCCTTCAGGATAAGAGGTGGCTTGGATCATCCGGCTTTCCAAACAGCATGAATCAAGGGTGTGTTTCTTGTCTGCCCTTGCGGACACTCCTTTGTGGGGACACATCTGTGGCGCTGCCTTCAAGGGGCACGTTCACTCATGGGGGTCATTCCTTTCTGGGTGATATCTGTGTCTTCGTGGACCCTGGGGTGCCACTGACAGGCCTTTTCTTCTCTTTCTTTTGCAGAATCCACAATGCTCACGTCAGGGAGCAATGGTGGCCAGCAGCCCTCAGGGGCGAAGGAGGGTGTCAAGAGGTGAGCCCAAAAGCCCACTTGCTCCTGGCCCTGTGCTCTGCCTAAAAGCCTCTTTCCTCACCGGGTACCCTTCTCCTTGCCTGAAGCCCTAGAGGGTTTGTCTCACATAATTAATCTCAATTGCACTGAAGGACAACCCTATGGTATAGGTGTCACTAGTCCTAGTTTAAAGATGAAGAAGCACTAAAAGGGGTATAGGGGAGTTGATTGCTAATATTCCTCATGCCCAGTAGTTTGAGAGGCCAAGGCAGGAAGATTGTTTAAGGCCAGGAGTTTGAGACCAGCCTGGGCAACATAGCAAGACCCTGTCTCTAAAAGATAAAAAGTTAGCTGGATGGCATGGTGTGTGCCTGTCTAGTCCCAATTACTTGGGAGGCTGAGGTGGAAGGATCACTTGAGCCTAGGAAGTCGAGGCTTCAGGGATCTGTGATTGTGCCACTGAACTCCAGCCTGGGTGACCCTGCCTCTGAAAAAAAAGAATCATTAAAAAAATCTAGGACTAAACGGTCGAGTGGCTCGACCTTCTGCATGTGTGTGTGCATGCAGGTATGTTTTTAGAGAGATGAGGAAGTGGAGCCCTCCCAGTTCTAACTGTGGTTGTCCAGATGAACTGGTTCCAAGATGTTGGTGACTTTCTGTCAGGACAGGCCACAACTCCAAGAGCTGGCCATACTCCTGAAATGGTACCTGCTTCCTGTTGTCAGAGAAGTTTTAGCAAAGTGGTTAAGGCACAGAGGCCCCAGTGGAGCACAGGGTGGCATCTTGATCCTGCAACTTACTAGTTAGATGAACTTGAAAAATCACTGCATCTAAGAATGGCTAAGAAGAGTACTTCTTTAATTGGGATCTGTCATGGTTAAATATGTTAATGTATATCATGTACATGAGCACAGTGCCCGGCCTACAGAGTTCTCATTGGATGCTCATAGTAGTTGTTACTGATTGATCTCTTCAGTATTCCTGAGGAAATTGGCCTCGGTATGGTCAGAGGACTCAGTAGGTCAGCTTAGGGGGCCCAGTATCAGCTACAGTTGGATGTTTGCCCTCTGGTAGTTCAGCTATGTTGGGTCTGTTGCATAGCCATGGGTGAAGACACACATTGTAAGAATTTATCCTCCCTAGGAAGTCTCAGCAACAACAGGACCCTGTCTCAACAACAACAACAACAAAAATTAAAAACATTAACTGGGGGTAGTAACACATGCCTGTAGTCTCGGATGCTCCAGAGGCTGAGGTAGGAGTATTGCTTGAGCCTGGGAGTTGGAGTTTACAATGAGTTATGATTGCACCACTGCACTCCAGCCTGGACCACATTATGAGACCCAAAACCAAAAAAAAGAAAAAGCCAACCACAACCTGAACCCTGCTTTTTAGGTACTTTGAAACATTTTAAACATGATAAAGGAATACAGTCTAATGAAAGATTTAGAAAATATATAAAGTCCACAGACTCATCATCTCAACACAACTGTTGTTAATATTTTGGAGTATTTCAAGTTCTTCTGCACCCTGCCCTCTACCAGCCCCCTGTTTAGGGTTATTTTTGAAAGTCATAGATAATTTCATGTCTTGCTATTTTCACTTAGTATTATACTTAGTTTTTCATTAGTTTCACCTGCTTTATAAATTGTTTTATTGCTAAAAGTATCATTTATTGGTTCTCAGTTTTTAGATTCAGTCTATAGACAAATCAAAGACTATATTTTCTAGTGGTGATGTCATAGCTCATTATATGATCACATCATATTTTCTGTAGCTTGACCTTGATTTGGGGGCATTTACGTTGGTTGCATTTTCTTCACTATAATAAATAATACTGGTAGAGCCTCTCAGCGCTAATAACTTTTTTCCTCTCTATAGGATTATTTTACTAGGCAGAATGCCCAGAAATATGTCAAAGGGTAGAAACAAGAGTTAAATGTTCCAAACAGAGGAATACTGCTATCTCAAATCTTCAAGCTCTCAAATGGAGGCAGTCCTTGGATTGAGCCCCTCCCTGAGACTCTCACTGGGCACTGGGCTGCCTAACTTGGCCAGGTCTCTTGTTCCTGAGCTGTGTTAGCCTGGCTCAGCGTCATTGTCATTGTTTCCTCTTGCCTAGGGAGCCGTCACTGATGCCTGAGCGCAGGCAGGGAATGATGGGGTGTGTGGTTTCACAGCACTCTCCCCTTTCCTGTCTGGCCACTGGTCTCAGCACTTCCCTGGTGGCTGAAGTGAGTACGCAGACTTTGTCTTGACTATGGGCTGCCTGTCACGCCACCTGCATCTATTTCTCCTCATCTTTCTTCTGCACAGGTATGAACAGGAGCATGCTGCTGTCCAGGATAAGCTCTTCCAGGTGGCAAAGAAGGAAAGAGAGGCTGCCACAAAGCCCTCCAAGGCATCCCTGCCCACAGGCGAAAGTAGCATCGGTCATGAGGAGCAGAAGTCAGTCCGGCTGGTAAGTGCATATTTTCCTGGAACTGGCCTTCCAAGCTGGGAAGCACCCTGGGAAAGAGGGGGCAGGCCTTGGCACCTGGTTTGTCTGATGCCCAGCTGGCTCAGGCTGCCCCTAGGATATGCTCAGCTGTACCTCTGTGGAAAACGGTCTTTTGGGAGCTAGGAACTTGGGTTCCTCCAGCCCTGGCTCTGTCAGTGATTTGCTTTGGTGCCAGTGTCATGTTTTTGCAATCTCTGTGGCCTAAGGTCTACTGCCAGGCGTCCCCAAACTTTTTACACAGGGGGCCAGTTCACTGTCCCTCAGACCGTTGGAGGGCCGCCACATACTGTGCTCCTCTCGCTGACCACCAATGAAAGAGGTGCCCCTTCCTGAAGTGCGGCGGGGGGCCGCATAAATGGCCTCGGGGCCTGCATGAGGCCCACGGGCCATACTTTGGGGACGCCTGGTCTACACAGCAAGGGACTAGAACACTTGACAGCCTTATTCAGCTGTGAAACTTCACAGGTGTCAGGGCTGCAGTGGCATGTGTGTCAGGAGGGTGTGAGGGGAGAGGTCTGGAGGCCTGGAGCCATGTAATATATGAGAGGGAGGGTATTAGAGTTAGGCAGGCTGTGCGCAAATCCTGGGCGTACTGTCTGTGAGCCTTGCTTGAAGATCATGATGTTCACCCACAGGAGTGCCCAGGGAATCAGAGGAGATAGTATTTGTCCAGGACTTAGCACATGCCAGCAGATCATGGAAGTGCACTATTGTTATTGTTACTGTCATTAATACATTTAAGTGATGGGCGGCTATTAGGATCTTTTCGCTTAAGTGCAGCATTTATTTTGCAACATGAGAAGTCTAGAAGTGCCCCCAGGGTTGACTAATTCAGTGGTTCACTAGCATCATCAGGGACCTGGTGCTTCTCTTCCTGCCACTCTGCCATCACAGCGTGCGAGTGCATCCTAGGCAGGCTGTCCCCATGGTTAACGAAGGCTGTTACTGCCCCACAAGTCACGTTCAGACAGTAAAACCCTCAGTAGAAGAAAAGAGGCTCTGCTGGCCCTTGTGTCTCTGTCACAAAAAAGCTCCTGGCAGAATTCCTCGTACATCACATTGGCTTGAATTGTAACAAGTGCCCATGGCTAAGCCAGTCCTCAGCAGAGGGGCTACAGAGGGCTCCACTGACTGCAGCTAGGGATCTTTTCTAGTCCCTTTAGAGAGGGTACACATCCAGCTAGAATTAGGACTGACAGCAAGGAGGTGGGGGAGGGAAGCATGACTGTGGGCCGCATCTAATAACATGTGCTGGAGGCCATGAGGTTTGAGACCAGGAACAGTCTTGCCCTACTTTAGGTGGGTAGCCTGGTACACGCAATGCTGTGTAGAAGGGGGTTGAACACGATGTGAGAACATACATTTTATGTATGTGCGTAAAACACGTGACACACACACACACAAACACACCACACACACACATACTCTGTATTCCTGTTAAGTTAGGCACTGGATTAGTTACCTAAAAAATGGAAATGAATAAGATACAGCTTCTGACCTTGAGAAGATGTGTATATTAGGAGAGTTAAACATTCTCAGAAGTGACCACACAGTGTTGCAAGGGTCATCCCAGAGGACAGGAAGATACTCGAGGAGCAAGGAGGTGGAACTACTTGACACTTCCTGCTAGGGTGGGAAGGAATTCTTTTTTTTTTAATTTTTATTTTTTTATTGCATTTTAGGTTTGGGGGTACATGTGAAGAACATGCAAGATTGTTGCATAGGTACACACATGGCAGTGTGGTTTGCTGCCTTCCATCTCCTCACCTGTATCTGTCATTTCTCCCCATGCTATCTCTTCCCACCTCCCCACCCCCCTGTCCCGCCCCCATTTCCCCCCAACGGAACCCAGTGTGTAGTGCTCCCCTCCCTGTGTCCATGTGTTCTCATTGTTCAACACCCGCCTATGAGTGAGAATATGCGGTGTTTGATTTTCTGCTCTTGGGTCAGTTTGCTGAGAATGATGGTTTCCAGGTTCATCCATGTCCCTACAAAGGACGTGAACTCATCGTTTTTGATGGCTGCGTAATATTCCATGGTGTATATGTACCACATTTTCCCTATCCAGTCTATCATCGTTGGGCATTTGGGTTGGTTCCAGGTCTTTGCTATTGTAAACAGTGCTGCAGTGAACATTCGTGTGCACGTGTCCTAAGGAATTCTAAGAGGAGGTCACCAGTGAGCTGAATCTTGGAGAATGAATAGAATTTGCCAGGTGGAGAGGAAGGAGGAGGGATGCTGCAGATAGGGGGCACTCTTAAGCAAAGACCATGTGTTGGGAGAAGATGAAGTCTTTGGATTATAGGAAGTAGCAAAGTGTGGCGAAAGGGTGACTAGAGGGCTCAATGTAGGCACAGTTGTGGAACAGCATCCTGGAAGTCTGATGGGGAGCTCTGTGGAGCGGTTTTCTGAATCTCAAAGAGATAAATAGGAGACAGCTGGACATTGATCACTACGAAAATACTTCAGTTGCGAAACAAGAAGCTAAGGTCAAATCTTCACACTGAAGATTTGGTAATAAAAGTACTTCCATCCCTGAACGTGCCCCTCTAACCTAAGGATTCCACCAGAAGAGTAGCTGTCCTGTCCTGCTCTCCCAGTGGCAGAGGACTTTTGATTTCTTACTGCTTCATTCTCTTCAATGCTCAGATGCTCCAGGTAGCTGCCACCCTAGCTATGTAAACTGGATACAGTTGGCTCTCCCTGTCCATGGGTTTCTGTATCTGCATATTCAACTAATTGTGGATTGAAGTCCATGGATACAGAGGGCTTACTGTCCTATGTCATTTTATGTAAGAGGCTAGAACATCCACAGATTCTGGCATCTGTGGAGGGTCTTGGAACCAATACCCTGTGGATACAGACAGCCGACTGTATCATAAATTTAAGATGTTCAAAGTTTTTGAATTGCAATTTTCTAAAATTATGAGGGAGCTGAAGGATCGGTTCTGGTTTTACTACAGCTGTAGCCTTTCTTCCTAACATTCCTCTCCTACATTTTTATCATATTGTTCCTCAGATTATAAACTCTTTGAGAATAAGAACTGTGATGTGATCATTTTGGTCTTTGTAGTGCTGAACAAATTATAGACAGGCAGTGAATGGCGATTAAATGGCAGATCTTAAGTGGGTGGGGGTGTGGAGGCGCTGCTGCTTTGAAGCCCACTGTGCAGTTGTCCGTTACCTTTCCTTTGCAGTCCCATCGCCGTGTCCCATTGCTAATAGTTGGAAGCAACCATCCCTCACAGCCTTCTGTAGAATGGGTGACAGTTCAAAGGTCTGACCCTTTTCAAGCAATAAAACAAAACAGAGTTTCAAAAGGCTTTCATTATAATGATATCTGGGAGTGAACTAAAAAGATGTTTGTCTCCTAGTCAGAGTCCTACAGACGTAAGGTTTATCTTGCTTGGAACAAGGAAAAGAGTGGGCTTTGGGAACTCTGGTCCGAGGTTATGAAGTATACTATTTGACCTTCAGCCAAGGCAGTCTTGATATCTGGGTCAAACTGTTTGTCATGGCTGTTTAGAAGTTTAGTGACCTGGGGACTCTGGTGACCCTGTCTCTTATACCTCCTCCAGTATGAGCTTTACATGGAGATCTGAAAATCCCATGGAGATCTGCATTGCCTGTGCTCAGATGACTGGTAAAAGGCATAAACTGGGATATTTTACTTTTTCTTCTTTTCTTTTGTCTACTGAGCTTAGTCGCTTGATTAGATCAGAGGTTGACACACATTTTCTGTAAAGAGCCAGGTAGTAAATACTCTTTGCAGTCACATGTGGTCTTTATTGTTGTTGTTGTTGTTACAAACCTAAAAAAATGTAAAAACCATTCTTAGCTCAGAGGCCATACAAAAAGAGGCTGTGTACTGGATTTAACTGGTGAGCATAAACCCCCTGCTGGACTAGATTTTGCAGCTCCAGAGGTTTTAACTTCTAAAGTCTCTCTGAGTACTCAGGTGTCTTGAGAAACTAGGGAGTGGAAGCCCTGGTGTTGGTCCAAGTTGCTTAGTGGCTATTATTTCTTGTGAGAGGTTTCTTGTTTTGGTATTTGACAGCCCCCATCTCCTGATGTGTAAAATGCAGATTTTTCTGGAGACAGCCCAGTGGGCTGTATGGGAAAAGTCATTAACTTCTACTTTAATTCCTGATTCTGTTTTCATCTGGCATTTTTTGTAGTTTCTGTTTCTCTGCTGAAATACCCCATCTCTTTACACATGTTGCCCACCTGTAGGTCCTCTAAACATAGTCTCAATTTGACAGTTCCAACACTGTGATCATCTCTGGGTTTGGTTCTGTTGACTATTTTTTCTCTTGATACATTTGCTTGTAGCTTTATGTCCTTTGTAGTTTTTGATTGGTACTGGCCATCATATGCAGGAGACCAGTAGAGACTGAGGAAAATAGTGTTTATGCCCAGAAATGGCCACTCTCCTCCTTTTGACGTGCTATTAGTGTGGGAGGTTGAGTAGCCTAGGTGAGTAGAGTAGGGGCTCTATTGCCTCAGCTTCAAACTATTAATATGTGAAGATGGGATCAAACCCATTCTGTTTGTCAGGCCTTAGGATCTGAGTGCCTGAGGCAAAGGGTTCATCTAAGTTCTCTTGGCCATCCACCAGACTATTTTATAGGCCCTGCTTGTCTGTGATTGAGGGTCCTTCCTTGTCCCTCCTGCAGCTGCGATGACTGCTGCTTGGTGGTCAGTGGAAGGCTTGGAGTGCCTATGGGCTTTCTCTCAGTTCTGCTGCTCTTCTCACAGACTTCAGCAGGCCCTGTGCACTGGTGCCTTGGGCGAATGTGTGGAGGGAAGAAAGTGTCTCATTCAGTTCTGCTCTATTTTTAAGAAAATAATTAAGAAAACTCTCATAACTGATACAAGACTTAGTGTACTCTTTCTGTTTGTTGTCATCACCTTTAAAGCACCCTTTACACCCCAAAGAAAATGAAAAGGACAAAGTGATG